ACCTCGAAGAGCGCTTCCTGAACAAGACTGCAGTGGGAGTTGCTATACTCATCCCCAGTATGTTCCAAGTGCGGCTCGAGGACTCACCAGGCATGGCGGACCATGTCACCAAGGTGCAGTCCATTCATGGTGAACTCAAGCAGTTGGGGATAGTCTTCCCTAAGCAAGCCCCTGCAGCCGCTCTCCTAGTTGGCCTCATTCCAGCATACGAAGTCACACGCAAGATGCTCTTGGGCCTTGCTCCTGCGGACCTCACATTTGCCAAGGTCTCATCCGCGCTCCTTTCTGCCGAAAAGGACAACCGCGCTCAAGCCAAGGCCAATGCAATCCGCGCTCCCATGCCTCAAGCCTATGCCGCTTCGGCACCATTCCAGTGCAACCGCTTCCCCCCATGTCCCTACGTCATCAAGCGCGGCCCTCGTGTCGGCCAGGTGTGTGGCGGCACCAACCACGGCCTTGCCTCCTACTTTAAGAAGAACGATGACAAGTGGTATGCCGTCAATGGGACTGCCTCGAAGCCCCCAAGCTGGATGGTCAATCGTGCTCCTCGCCAAGTCAATCAAGTCGAAGCGCAGGAATCCGTGCAGGCTGCTATGGCTACACCTGCTGATGTGCGCCTGGACATGTTGTTCCCTGGCACTGCAATGATTAATGAGACGATTTCGCAGTGTCCCGGCTCACAAAGCACCTCAGCCACAATAGAGTTCACCCTCGATAGTGGGGCCACTCACACAGTTCTCAAGGAAGAACACTCCTTCAAGCCATACGAGACACCAATCCGTCTACTAGGAGCAGACTCCAGTTTCACAACACACGCCAAGGGCTCCTCCACAGTTCCGTGCCCAGCTTTCCCTTCGGGCAGTGTGACTGACATGTGTGTTCCCACACTACGCCACAATCTCGTGGCCCAACAGGAGCTCCAACGGGCAGGCGTCACCACGATCTTCCCAGCACACTCGGATCACTGTGACCTCCTCGACCCTAAGTCCAAAAAGCTCCTTGCACGCTTCACACTCAACAGCAGCAAGCTCTACACGCTGCGTTCACCTGCACCTCTCGCCGCCCTCTCCCAAGCCCAAGCTGCCAGCACCACTCCGTGTTCCTGTCGCAGCTTCACCAACCCAACCATCCTCTACCACCATCGCTTGGGTCAGCCCAACTTCCGTACACTTGCCGACATCGCTTCCAAGAAACTTCCTCTTGGCCTCTCGTCGGCGCTTCCTCCACCAACAGATTCACATGCACCCACCTGCCTGGACTGCACCAAGAGCAAGCTCAGGCAGCAGCCGCAACCTTCCTCCCCATCCGTCGCAGCTGCTCCGCTGGACTTAGTGCACATGGATGTCTGAGGCCCAGCTCCAGTCCCATCTCGAGGCGGTCATCGGTACTTTCTTACACTAGTCGATGACCACTCGCGGTATGTTTCTGTGCACCTCCTGCATACCAAAACGGAGGCACCTGATGTCATCATAGCGTGGGTGCACCAAGCTCAAGTCACGTTCGGCACTCCTCTGAAGTGCCTCCATTCTGATGGCGGGGGAGAATTTCGCAATGGCAAACTTGATAACTTCTGTGCGGCCCAAGGGATTCGGCAAACCTTCACGCTCCCTGAAAGCCTGCAGCAGAATGGCATTGCAGAGAGCCGCAACCACACCTTGGTTCAGATCGTTCGCTGCCTCCTCAGTCACGCCAACGCACCACGGTCACTCTTGGAATATGCCCTCTTCCATGCGGCACTCCTCTACAATCTTTATCCGCATCCCCACCGGCCCGACACCCCACCTACCACTCTCTGGCTTGGGGCCACACCCTCCGCCCGCTCTCTACGCGTCTGGGGGTGTACCGCGTATGTGTTGCTCAGCCCCCACACGCGCAGGAAGCAAGGTGGCAAGCTTGGTCCCAAAACCCAGACCTGCATGTACCTGGGGCACAACTCCGACTCCTTATACTACTTATTCCTCAACCCCATCACCAGACAGCTGATTCGCAGCCATGATGTCGTCTTCGATGAGACACGCCCCTTCCACTCTACGACCACGGTCGAGCCTCCTCCACCTCCCCCGATGCTTGTTTGGGCAGACTTCGATGCCCCACCTCCGGCCGCTGCCCCTTCTCCGGGGCCTTCTCCGTCCAACGTGTCTCACCCGGCCTCCCCGGTATCCTCCGCAGTGGCACCACCTCCTGCTCCGCCTTTCCTGCGCGTCAAGCTCGGCTCACCAGTCTCCTACTGGAGGCGCCCAATCCCTCCGGTCCCACCGCAGCCGCCTTTGTCTCCGGTCTCTAGTCGCACTCGTTCCAAGGGACCGGCTCCGCCTCTCGCTTGGGGACCAGCCGCCTTCTCCATCCGGTGTTCGGTCACCCCGCCTCCTCCTGCCGGGGGTGATGTCCCCTCCATCCGTATTCCCCCTCGTGCACTTCAGGAGGACAGGCATGAGGAGCTGTTTGACCTTCATGCGGTCTGCCAATTTCTCTCACACACCTTCCCGGACATTACTGATTGCCCTTCCCTCAACTTCCCCGAGAACCCGACCATTCCGACTCCTCGCACTAAAGAGGAAGCTCTCTCGGGGCCTTATAAGAAGGAGTGGAAGGCAGCAATGGATGTGAAGAACGAGACATTCATTCGCAACAACAGCTTTGACAATGTCGTTCCCCCTTCCGGTGTCAACATCGTCGGCGGAAAATGGATCTTCCGAGTCAAACAACTCCCAGGCGAAGCTCCACTGTTCAAGGCACGATACATGGCGAAGGGTTTCACCCAGAATGAGTATCTCGACTTCTTCGAAACATTCTCGCCCACGGCTAAGCTCCCGACTGTGCGTGCTCGTCTTGATATAGCCGCTCGCGGCAACTTCGAGATCAAGTCCATGGATGCCTCCTCCGCCTTTCTCCAAGGCCAGCTCAATGAGGATGTTCACATGGAACGCCCACCGGGGTTTCCTTGCACTTACCCTGCCAACACAATGTGGAAGCTGAAGCACACAGTGTATGGCTTCAAGCAGGCTCCTCGTGAGTGGCACAACAAGGTGAAGGAAGTCCTCCTTGCACTAGACTTCCATCCCTCTGCCTCAAATTCCAGTCTCTTCATTCCTCACTCCTCTGAGTCTTTCTACATCCTCGTCTGCGTTGACGACTTCATTCTAGTCGCCAGAGATCCAGCCAAGATGGCAGCTGTCCAGTCTGCTCTCAGCTCCGCCCTTCTCATGAAGGATCTTGGTGACCTCAAAAAATACCTGGGGATGGAGATCACTCGTGACCGCCAGGCTTGCACGATCACCCTCTCCCAGGAGTCCTACATCGACAACCTTCTCAAGCGTTTTGACATGGACTCTAGTAACTGTGTCTCCACTCCACTCCCACTACAGCATCAGCTCACGGCCCCTCCGATTCCTTCTCCTGACGCCTGCAAGGACCCGTACCCTGAGCTACTCGATTCACTCATGTATGCCATGATGTGCACTCGACCAGACTTGGCTTACCCGGTTAGTGTCCTCTCTCGGTACGTCTCCCCCGGACGCTACACTGCCTCGCATTGGTCTACAGCCTAGAGGGTCCTCCGCTATCTACAAGCCACCAAGTCTCACATCCTCACTCTTGGTGGTACCTCTCCAGTCAAGCTCGAGGGATACACAGACTCCTCATGGGCCGATGACCAGACTGACAGACGCTCCTCCCAAGGGTACTGCTTTACCCTTGGTAGCGGAGTCATTAGCTGGCGCTCCACTCGGTTCTCTACTGTCTCCCTGTCGTCCTACGAGTCCGAGCTCTATGCAGGCACAATGACTGCTCAAGAGGCTCGCTGGCTCTCCTTTCTCCTCGCTGAGTTAGGCTACCCCCAGCAATCGCCCACCTGTGAATAAATCCGTATTTTTTACAGAACTAAACCTTATTATACCAGCACTGATGGCTTCATTATCTTTATTTTAGTTATAATACTATCATTTTGAATGTAATTAGGCCTGTAGGTCATCCCTATGCAATATCAGAAGATAGCAAAATCTACACACTTCAACATTAGTTTTCCCAACTAAATTTTGCTCTAATACATGTATCGAGATTCCTCCAGACACCACTTACAACCAAGGAAACCGATGCGAGAGAAAGACAAATAGGTCAAGATGCTGTGGTCCTGGCGAAAAGTCTGTGGCACCTCGATTTGAATAATCTCGTCCCTGCTTTGCGCCTTGAATCCAGACGAATCGAATGCAAAAGTCCAGCCAACCGACCCCACTGCTCCCACACTTTCTAGCCAGTGGGAACATTTGACAATGAATGCTCGAACCGCAAATTCTGCCTCGACTCGACTCGACTGGACAGATGTCTCGCGTGCTCTGCTCTCCCCTCCCCTCCCCTCCCTTGCTCTACCCGACCTTGTTCTCGACTCTCCAGAATTTTCATTGGGGGGAGTTGGGATGGGGGGATGTGGAGTCGAGTCGAGGAGGTTGACGAGGGCGGAGCCACTGTAGTCCCCCATCAGGGTCCTCCCCTCCCTCCCTCCACCCATTTCTCCTGCCCCTAGCTGCCCCTAGTTAAGCCGCTTTCTGCCCATTAAAAGTTCCCAGTTTGTCCAGCCAAGGCACAGGGGTAGCTGCAGGAATTTCAGGGGTAGTTGCGGTTGGTTCTGTCAGTCAGGCAAGTGGGATGGGGAATGGGCAATTTGAGGTTCCGCATTTCCCAGTCAGTCAAGATGGCGGTTGAGCACTGCAGTAGTGCTGAGGCGTACAGCGGGAGTAGGGTGTTCCAACTTCGAGCGAAATCTTGTCGCATCAGAATCCTCCTTGTGATAAATGAGCGTCTACGGAGAAGCACCTCCTAATCATGAGTTTCCGTCGAAATAAGTACCCTTACAGAGTTAATGCCACACTTGGAAATACATGGATTTAATCTCATAATTTATGGGGATATTCGGGAACTAGTCGGGGACCTCTGGGCTAGAGAACGAGACACCCTAACGTCAGAACATCCTTGCTTCCTCATGATCAAGGCGATATCTCCTCCTAAGGACACGTCCACATGTGAGACCTCATGTTTGTTCGTGAGCTATTAGTTTCACTAACGCGACCTTACGATCTCTTAGTCCAGCATGGTCTCGTCTCGTTCGCGTCTCTAGAAGCTGCCGTACAGATACCATACGCCGACGCGGGGGGGGAGAGAGAGCCAGGGAGCCTTGGTCAGCCCGTAACGGCCTAGAAAAAAGAAAAAGGTAAAGCCCGAATGCGCCTCGCTGTGTAAAGGCTCCGACTTTCCCGCAATCAGCTTTGTGTCGGTCACGAGGACGGTCTTATTAACATATTTCAGAAGTCTCGTCGTATCGTTTCAGCGTGGTATCAGTACGCACGGATACGTGTCGCCATCACTATGACTGGCTGTAGTCTACTCCGTCACCTCAACGGGACGAGGTTTGGTCGAACTCCGTCTACCTCCACGGACTCCGTGTAGAACTCCAAAACGCCGTCTGGTACTAGTTTGGTACGCACTGATACGTGTAGTCGTCACTATGAATGACAGTAGCAGTAGAAGTATTAGTAAACGGGAAGAGGTTTGGTGGACTCAGCCTGAGTGTAGAAACTCCGAAACTTCGAAACTCAGTCTGGTGGTCTGTCAGTCGAGGTCTGTGTAGTAAATCCACGTCAGACGCCGCGAAACACGGCGGAAACGCTCTGAGCGATCGACATGTGGCAGCAGTTCACTTCGAGTCGGGTCGCGCCGCAAGGGGAGAAGCCGGCAACGTGGGTACAGTTCGGGCAGCAGAACGGGCAGCAGAACGGGCTGCGGAACGGGCAGCGGAACGGGCAGCAGAACGGGCAGCAGAACAGAGAGCAGAACAGAGAGCACAATGATAAAAGCCGACCGCCGTTCCGAGTCGCCTTAGATCTCCCCGCGTCGCCGCCTGCACCATCTCCTCCGCTAGATGCGGCGGGAGCACCGTTGTTGGAGCAACGCTATGCGGATCCGATCGCGCTGAAGCAGGGGGACTTGATATTACCCGCAAATAACTCTAATAACTCGGATAACCCTAATAACTACCCTGGTTTTGAGAATGACGAAGCGCGTCAGCAGCCGCAGGTTCCAGAATTCTCGTGGGGCGAGAAAGAGGGAGGAGGTCACGTGGTTCAGTTCGGTTCGCCGGGGTCGCTAGGTTTTAGAATGATGTTTCTCGATAAAGGCGATCAAATAGTGTCGCCGTGGCATAACATCCCCCTATACGGGAAGAACACGTGGCTGAATTTCGTCTGCACGACACCGCGAGGGACGTGGGCGAAACACGATTTCGCACCGGAGGAATACACGCCGTTACGTGTTACACCGAGTTCGCGAAACGGCGAACCCTCGCACTTCGCGCGCGACGCGCCGTGGCACGTCGGCGCGCTGCCGCAGACGTGGCAGGATCCCGAGGAGGGCGCGGAAGAATTCACCGGGGTCTCGGGATGCGGAACGGCGGTGGAAGTTTTAGATCTTTCGCGTCAGCCCGCGAAACTCGGGCAGGTGCATACGGTAAAGCCGATTGGTGCAATTCCGGTGGTGCGGGAGGAGGGGTTGGCGTGGGTGGTGGTTGCGATTGGCGGAGGCGATCCCATGGCGCATCTAGTGAACGAGTTGGATGAGCTGCCCGAGGTCATGCCGGGCAGGCTGGAAGAAATCTTCGCCTGGCTGGCCGTGTGTGACGCTACTAGCGAAGGTGAGCAAGTGCTGTATTAGACCCAGTTAGTACCGCGTTAGGTTAGGCTAAGCCTTACTTGCGTCCGCGCTACCCCCGCCTCCGCCCCTTATCACTGTCATCTTCCCCCCGCCTCTCCTGTCATCTTCCCCCCGCCCCTCCTGTCATCTTCCCCCCGCCCCTCCTATACTCCCACTATCATGCGCCTCCTGCGGACAGCCATAATTTCTGCCGCGTATGGCGGAGCACGGAGCAGGGAGGGCGCTGATGGTAGTGGCTCAGGCCAACGCCGCCTGGCAGCTGTTCCTCCACTCCCACGAGCAGCCCGACTGGGTGTAGCCCGACTGAGTAGACTCAAAAATCGACTCATTACACACGGGCCAACGCCGCCTGGCAGATGTTCCTCCACTCCCACGAGCAGCCCGACTGGCCCCTGGCGCCCCAATGCGCTCTACCACTTCACTCCTCCCTCGCACTCCCTCACACTCCTTCACACTCCCTCGCACTCCCTCACACTCCCTCACACTCCTTCACACTCCCTCGCACTCCCTCACACTCTCGCACACTCTTCCCAATATCTCACACTCCCCTCTCCCAGGGGACAAGCCGTCGTTCGTTCCTGCCGCTCATGGCGGAGCATGGAGCATCAAGAGCACTCACAGTGGTGGCTCAGGCCAACGCCGCCTGGAGCACTCACTCGCATTCCTCCCCCCCCCCCCCCCCCCGCACTCCCCTCTCCCAGCGGACAAGCCATCTTTCCTGCCGCTCATGGCAGACCATGGAGCATCAAGAGCACTCACAGTGGTGGCTCAGGCCAACGCCGCCTGGCAGCTCTTCCTCCACTCCAACGTGCAGCCGGACCCCTGGCGCCCCGAGTTTGACCTCTTTGCCACTAATATCCTCCAGGTAAGTGATTCTCTTTGCTAAGTTGGTGTATTGCGTTTTCAGAACCGCACTCCAGAGTTCAGCCTTGTCTCTTTTGAGGCGCCTCAAAAGCCCTCAAGAGACCCAGCTTGCCACAATTCATTCTCCAAGTAAGGTGCTTGTTTCTTCTTTTCCGCACTCCTTTTCTCCCGCAACTGCTCACCACCTTTCTCCCTCCCTCTCATCCTCCTTCCTTCCCTATCTCACTTCCTCCTAGTAAAGGCCTGCTGGCGAAAATACACGGACGATCACAGCCCCACAATCCTCCCCATCTCTTCTGACGGCCGTCCGATCGTCACAACCAGTGCTGTGGCTGCAGCAGAGAGAGAAGCCAGAGGCATGGTAGTTGAAATGGAGAAGGAAAGGGAGAGGGAAAGAGGGGAGAGAGTGGAGAGGGAGCGGGAGAGGGAGAGGGGGAAGGAGAGGGTGAGAGAGAAGGAGAAGAAAAGGGAGAAAAGTAGGGAGAAGGTGAAGGGAAAGGAGCAGAGAGGAGGAGGTGGGAGCAGGAGAAGAAGCCTATCCGGCCCAGAGATCATCATCGGAGGGGGGGGAAAGGGAAGCAGTATATGGGGGGGAGGGGGAGGGGGAGGGGGAGGAGGGGGAAGATTGGGCCGTGGGGGGGAAGGAGGGAAGGGAATTGCAGGAGTGGGGGATATTGCCAGTGGAAAGGGGACTGCCAAGGCGGGAGGAGGAGGGAGCGGAGGAGGGGGACGAGGAGGGGGAGGAGGGGGAGGAGGGGGAGGAGGGGGAGGAGGGGGAGGAGGTGGAAGAGGGGGAGGAGGACAGGGGGATAAGGGAAGTGGAGGGAGGTTTGGAGGGAGGTCAGCAGGAGTGAGTCCCAGTGCGTCTCCTCCCCCCTCCTTCTCCTCCTCCTCTTCCTCCTTGCAGCCTAAGAGCCCTGGGAAGCTGGGGTTCTTTCGAGCGAGGCTGCCGTCTCTTCCCCTCATTGCACCTTCACCAACTGACGACCCCCCCCCTGCTGCTGCTGCTGCTGCTCCGGTGTCCGCTCCTTATCGCACTGCTGATCGCACTGCTGCTGCTGCTCCGGTGTCCGCTCCTTATTGCACTGCTGATCGCACTGCTGCTGCTGTTGCTGCTGCTGCTAACGCTGCTTCCTCCTCCCGATCGCGATCCCCACTGCCTCCCATAACGCCCAAGACACCAAGAGGAAGCTCCGCGTTCAAGTCACCCAAGCAGAGAGCCACAGCCACAGCAGGACCCTCCTACCAGCAGGGGCTCGGGAAGATTCACGGGCAGGATTACGGGCAGATTTATGGGCAGACTCGTGAGTGGCAGCAGGGACAGAGTCAGCACAGCCACCACCGCAGCCGCAGCAGCGAAAGTGGCACAGGCGGGGGGAGCAGCAGTTACAACAGTAACAGCGGTATCAGTGGTAATAATTCTAATAGTGGTAACAGTGGACGGCTGGAGCCTGTTCCTGGCGCTATCTGGCGAACAAGTAGTGTCCCTGCTGCTGCCACTGCTGCTGCGCGGGCGGCGGCCGCGGCGGCGGCGGCAGCTGCTGGTAGTGGTGGTGGTAACTATCCGGCTGTTGCTGCTGCTGCTGCTGCTGCTGCTAGTGGTGCTGCTGGTGCTGCTGGTGCTGCTGCTGGTGCTGCTGCTGCTAGTGGTGCTGCTGCTGCTGCTAGTGGTGCTGCTGGTGCTGCTGGTGCTGCTGGTTGGGCCAGTGTTGCTGGTGGAAAGGTCAGGGCTGTGCCCTCTTTTGAGTCGACTCAAAAGTCGGCTGTGCCCACTTGTGCCAGTGCACAGTATTATCACGAGTTCAATGCCAAGGATGCCGAGGAAGAGGGGGGGCTGCTGCGCAGCCAGAGCGCAGGAGTCTTCAGGGTAAGAGAGGGACGACAGGGCCAAAGCAGCGCGGGGAGTGTAGAGCGTGGGGAGAGTGGGGAGAGTGGGCCGAGTGGGCCGAGTGGGGAGAGTGGGTCGAGTGGGGCGAGTGGGGCGAGTGGGGCGAGTGGGGCGTATAACCCCCTGGCCCTGGGAATACCGCAGTGCAGCCATACTCCACCCAGTGCCGTGATGGGGTGTTCCGCTCCTCTCAACCACTCCATCTCTAGCCATTCTATGTCGTCTAACCCCTCCCTTGCAGCAGCGCGGCTGAACTACTCTACGAGGGGTTTTGGCAGGACGAGCAGCGCCTCCAGCAGCAGCAGCGGCAGCAGGGCTGTTCCCTATGCCGCCCTGGCATCTTCCAACAGGCCCATTGGGGGTTTCCATGGCGCTGACTCCTCCACTAGCTCACTTGCTGCAGATGATATTGAGTGGCGCAAGCAGCACGAGTGGGCCGTTCCGGCGACTCTTGAGGCGGCCCGGAGCAAGTGGGGTGGTTCGGAGCGGTATGAGGCGGTCCAGAGCCAGTTGGTTGTTTCGGCCACAATTGAGGCAGCCCAGAGCAAGTGGGGTGGTGCCGAGCGGTATGAGGCGGGGCAAAGAGATAGTGGGGTGGTTCGGAGCCAGCTGGTCATTTCCGAGGCTCTAGTGGCAGCCCAAAACAGGTGGGGTGGTCGAAGTGGAAGGTTGTCGCTGAGGGAGCCTGACATTGCTGCTGCCACAGCAGCTTTTGGAGTCACTACTGACTCATCTTTTAATGAGTCTCCTCTTAATGACTCATCTTGTAACGAGTTGGCTTTTAGAGAGGTATCTCAGGCGCCGGATGCCACCCAGAGGTTGGAGCAGAGGTTGTCGGGGCAGCGGTGGGCAGATTTTGACTCTTCTGAAGGTGTCAATACCGCTGCAAGTGCTGCTGCAAGCACTGCTGCAAGCACCGCTGCAGGCATCGCTGCAAGGGCTGCCGCTCGAGTGAATCGGCGGTGGAATTCAGCAGCGGTTGAGAGAAGGCCGTCCAGGGAACAGGCAGAGGGCAACACTGGTGATGCTGGTGCTACTGCTGCTGCCACTGCTGGTGCTGCTGCTACTGCTGCTGCTGCTGCCGCCGCTTTGCACAGAAAGATTCCTTCCAAGAGCAGTCTTTCATCGCAGGGTAGTGTTCCGTCGCAGAGCAGCGGGGAGAGCAACGAGGGGGACAGTCACGGAGGGGCACGGCTGGATAGGCAGCATCACCAACATCAAGCGCTACAGCTGCAGCAGCAGGTGCAGCAGGTGCAGGGACATATGCAGCAGGGGCACTGGCAGCAGGCGGCACTGCAACTGCAGCAGGCGCAGTGGCAACAGGGAGTGGGCTACCAGCAGCAGCAGCAGCAGCAGATGCTGTTGCAGTCCGCTTCTGAGTCGACTCAAAAGCATTCCCGACCGCCTCTGTCCCCTCGAAGGACCATGAGCTCGATTCACGAGAGCAAGGAGCGAAGCCGGCAGCAGCACAGAGCCGTAGAGACGCAGAAAGGGCAGTACGCAGGAGTGCAGCAACAGGGGGGGCAGCAACATATGCAGGGACAGGGACAGGGGCAGCAGGAGGAGTTGTCGCTTGAGTGGCAGCAAGCAGGGGACCAGAAGGCGAAGCAGAGGCAGCACAGCAAGTCATCCCTCAAACTCACTCCTCCTCGCTCCCCTCGCTCATCGTCCTCCTCCTCCCATCACCAGCAGCAGCAGCAGCAGCAGCAGCAGTACCAGCACCAGCACCAGCAGCAGCAGCACCACCATCACCACTCCATCCGCCCCTTCTTCCGTTCCTTCAATCACTCCCAGCCTGCCCCAGATACCACCTCCCACCTGCTCCCTACCTGTGCCAAGTTTCATTCTCACTCCCCTGCTGCCCCCACCCTCTCCCCTCCCGTCTCCCTTCCCCCATCCGGCCTTCCCTCTTCCTCTGCCTCCCCCTCCCCCGCTCCTCACCCTATATGTCTTTCCCCCTCGCCGTCTCCCCCTTTTTCCACCCTCACTGCTCCTCTCACTGCTTCCACCTCTTCCTATTCCGTGTCCACTTCGTCCTCTGCTTCGTCCTCCTCTGAGTCTGCTGCTGTGGTTGCAGCACGAGCAGCTGCCAAGCTTCGCCGCCCCTCCCCCCCCGCTCTCTTTCTCACTGCTAGTGCAGCCCTCGATACAAGAACAGCTGGTACAAGCAAATTCGATACAAGCACATCTGTGGCAGCAGGAAACGTTGCAGCAGTGAGGGCAAGGCCCTCGCTTATATCTATTCCAGGCATCCAGGCTCCGTCCACCGACTCCCTTCGTTATATGCACCTTGTATCCCCTCGCCGGCCCCGTTCCCTTACAGGGGAACCAGAGTCTCTCAATAGTAGCACAGTGCTGTACAGTCACAGTGTGATGCAGCAGCAGCAGCAGCAGCAGCAGCAGCAGCAGCAGCAGCAACAGCAGCAGAAGAAAGGTGCTGGGGATGGGGTAGGGGCAGCAAATCTAGGATATACACCGTATAGAGCAATTCGATATAAGTCACCAACGCCTCAGTCTCCCAGGGCAGGTGAATTAAGGCGGGCCAATACGCAGCCTTGGAGGCGCAGCAGGGAGTGGGTGGAGGATGGTGATTATAATGAAGGGAAGGGGCAGGAGAGGCAGGAGGGGCAGGAGGGGCAGGGGGGGCAGGGGGGGCAGGGAGAGAAGGCAGACTGGGAAGGTGGTGCTGTTGCTGGTGGTGGCGGTAGCAGTAGTACTGTTGCTGGCGAAATTGGGAAGCACGATCACCACAGTGACAGCAGTAACAGCACCATTAGTGGTAACCGGGTCACCAGCAGCAACAGCGGCTGCCTGCAGCTGCCACAGCAGAGGCGTGTTCGACCCTCTGACGGCCTTCCCCTTCCCCTTCCCTCTGCCGCCCCTTTAAGATCGCATCTGAAATTGTCACAGCTAGAACCGGACTTGTATTTTGACGACTCATACGAGCCACTGAAGGATGAGGAGCACGAGGGGGAGCGGGTGGAGGAGGAGGAAGATGAGGAGGAGGGGGGAGGGGATGAGTGGTGTGATGGGGAGTGCGGAAATGAGTATGATGAGCCGTTGAGTGCTAGAAGTGCTTGCAGTGCTCGCAGTGCGTCTAGTGCTTGCAGTGGTGCGAGCACAGGCAGCAGAGGAAGCAGCCGTAGCCGCATCTTGCACCATGCTTCTAGTGAGGAGGGAGAGGAGAGAGATGAGGAGGAGGAGGAGGAGGAGGGTGAGGTGGAGCTGAAAATGGAGGGAGAGGAGATGAGAGGTACTGGTATGGGGAGGGATGAAACGGAAAGTACTGACAGGGGAGGAGAGGGATTGGAGAGGCGAAGTGGTGGAAACAGCCATCCAGTTCGGTTCTTCAGGAGTCAGTCGGAGAAAAGCAACCGGCGCCACCAGCAGCAGCAGCAGCAGCACCAGCAGCAGCAGCAGCAGCGGCAGCAGCAGCAGCAGCAGCAGCAGGCAGATAGTAGCAGCGCTGGGAGTGGCGATGGGGCGGGATGGAGCTTTGGAAGCAGCAGCAGCAGCAACCGGGGTGCTATGAGTCGTGTGAGTCGCAGTCGGAGCTGTGATCCCACTACCCGCAGCCACCACAAGTCCCTCAGCATCTTATCCGATGGTCATGGTGCTCCCACCTCGTATACTGCGACATCCGACGGCCATCCTTCTCCCAGATCTGATGGCCGCCGAACGCCCTCCCGCGTGCGTTTCAACGAGGAGGTGGACGTTCTCATGTTCGCTGACGTGGCCGGCGCCGCTGGCCTGGCAAGCGCTGCTGACGTGGCAGGTGGTGCCGCTGACGCAATGCATGTTCTTGGCAGTAAAAGTAGAGATGAGCACGGGGACTCTTCTACCGCAGCGGCGGCATGTGGAAGCAACTTGGACATAGAGGAGGATGAAGAGGAGATGGATGACGGGGAATTTCGTCTCTCGCTTCCCGCCCTTAGCTTCTCCTTGACGTTGGCGTTAGAAGGCTCGCACACAGCCGTGTCGTCCCCAACCAGGTTTCCCCGCAGCAAGAGCCAGAACTAAGCTGTCGGCTGACAAGTGACAGACTCGCGACTCGTGAATCGTGACTCGTGACTAGCGACTAGTGACTAGTGACTCGTGACTCGTCGTTTTGAGGCTCCTTAAAAAGTCGTTTGCTGACAAGTGACAGACTCGCGACTCGTGAGTCATGAGCCAAAGCCAGCCCACTTACAGTACGAGTTGCCACCCATACATGAGGATCTTGGATGGTGCAGGCTGCCGCCTACGCCCTGCCTGCTTCCGCCGCTTCTGCATTGGGTTGGGTGTACAGTGTGCATGCACCCTACACCCTGGAGCCTCACACACCCCTTCTCTGCAGTAGGGGGGGCGACTGTCTCGTAATCCATTATCCTGGAGCTGTATGCATGCCTGTGCTGCCTCACTCACTGCTCCCGCACCATACCCTAGTATGTTGCATCCCTCCATGCCTGTATGTATATTGACATAATGCTCTAATACCTATGGGTCATAACTGTTACTGGTACTGTACTACCTCTGCTTATGGTAGGCTTCTCCAAGTAAATGTGCTGCGGTATGTTAGTCACCGTCTTGATCACTCTTGCCCTCCGTGCGGCGGTGCTGGGCACTTCTTGTAGAAGTGATATGTGTCACGAGTATATCGTAACACTTCCCTTCCCTTCCCACCTTGCCTCTTACTGGTATGTTTAACTAATGAAAAAATGATTGCGCATAGGACTGAGGTGAACATACAGCAGCACCGTCATATACACCTGAAATGGGGCAACAGGGCATCAGCGCATGCAAGAGGCGAGGCGGGCCGAACAGCAATAGGGTAATAAGCATTGGTTTGGTAGACACACACACACTGGTGCTGTTACTCATGGGGTTGCTGCTGCTTTCCGCCCTGCTCCTCTTCAACTCCGTCTCCTTCCCTCTGGCATGCTACCACCCCCTCACCCCCATCACCTCCCCCTACTCTCCTCATTTCTCTCCCCCTCTTCCGCTCCACATGAGAGAGGCCACAGGCACGCACATGAGCGCTGGCCCCTACCATGGGAAACACCGCTACTACCAACCGGGAAGGAGGGTCTCCCCCACTCCGTATTCGTACGATTCGTGTCCCCCTCCCCACTACCCCTCCTCTTCTCCACATCAGGGTAGGCAGCATGCACATGCGTGCTGGCCACGACCATTGGGAACGCCACCCGTACCGACTGAGAAGAAGGGTCCCCCCTGCTCCGTCTTTCTTCTCCAGGGTACGATCCGTAACCCCCTCCCCACCACCGTCTTTCTTCTCCAGAAAAGGGTAGGCACCATGCATAGGCGTGCTGGCCATGATAATTCCGAATGCCGCCCACCAACAGGGAAGAAGGTACCTCCTACTCCGTCTTCGTGCGATCAGTCTCCTCCTCCCCGCCCGTCTTCTCCACTTAGGGGTAGGCAGCATGCATGTGCGTCGTGGTCACCCCATCAGGAACACCACCCACACCAGCAGGGAAGGAAGGTCACCCCTACTCCGTCTTCTTAAGATCCGTATCCCCCTCCTCACCACCCTTCTTCTTCTCCACATAAGGGTAGGCAGCATGCATGTGCGTGCTGGCCACAACCATTGGGAAAGCTGCCCACACCAACAGGGGGGGAGGCTCCCCTTCTACCAGCAGCTGGGCTGCTGCTGTCACGAGCAGCGCTATGATCATCACAAAGCCCTGGGGAGAGAAGGGAGGAGAAGGAAGCAAAAAGAGAAAGCAGACGGGTGGGCGGAGGCGGTGATTGCCTCAAGGCCCCCTTCTGCGAGCAGCTGGGCTGCTGCTGTTACTAGCAGCACTTTGATCATCACAAAGCCCTGGGGAAGGCAGGAGGAGAACGAGAAGACAAGGATGGGAAGTGGGATGAATTGCAGTCAATTTACAGGAAACCTCGTCAGGCACATGGGGGGAGGGGGTTGAAGGGGGGAGGAAGGGGAGCGGAGGGAAGGAGATCGAGCAGCACAGGTCCAGCAGCTTCAACAAAAGACAAAGCTAGATAAATTATGCATAATATTGTGAGACGCTCACGGCATGCTCGCACACACAGTGCATGCACGCACAAACGCGCCCATGCACCCAATCATACGCACCTTCTTTAAGCCCCCAGACACCTGCACCACCACTCCCACAAGAATGCCTGCCAGGGCGTTGGTCAATATAGGCACCTGCAGATGGGAGTTGGTCAATAAGGGACTTTCCAAAGAACTGTCAGGGGGAGAGCACGAGTGGCGTTGATGACGAAATGCTGACAGCAAGATTCAATGAGTGGTGTGGCCGTGTGCAGGAATCAATGAGTCGATTGGACACATTGACTCAATGCCTCATAATCAGACTTCTGAGGAGCCTCAAAACTCAATGCCTCATAATCAGATCTCTCAGAAGCATCTGCCTTGTCCCGAATGAAGGTCCAGGCGTGGAAGAAGCCGAGCTGCCTCATGCGCACGGCGTCATGCGATGAGGGCAGCAGCAGGAGCGAGGAGAGGAGGAGGTAGAAGCTGAAGTCAGCACTGATACATGTTGAGAATGGAGAGAGACGTACCATGGAGAGGAGGGTCCAGGCGTGGAAGAAGCCGAGCTGCCTCATGCGCACGGCGTCATGCGATGAGGGCAGCAGCAGGAGCGAGGAGAGGAGGAGGTAGAAGCTGAAGTCAGCACTGATACACGTTGAGAATGGAGAGAGACGTACCATGGAGAGGAGGGTCCAGGCGTGAGAGAAGCCGAGCTGCCTCATGCGCACGGCGTCATGCGATGAGGGCAGCAGCAGGAGCGAGGAGAGGAGGAGGTAGAAGCTGAAGTCAGCACTGATACATGTTGAGAATGGAGAGAGACGTACCATGGAGAGGAGGGTCCAGGCGTGGAAGAAGCCGAGCTGCCTCATGCGCACGGCGTCATGCGATGAGGGCAACAGCAGGAGCGAGGAGAGGAGGAGGAAGAAGCTGAAAGCCGACATCTCGATGGTCATCAGGTACGAGCTGCGGCCCTTAACCTGTGGGAGGAGGGAGACGGGAGAAAAGAGATGGCAGAGGAGACAGACGGAAAGGGGAAGGGAGACAGAAGCGGGGAGGAGGAGAAGGCAGACGCCGTCCGAAAGACGCCGTCTCTTGAGTCGACTCAAAAGTCATCTGAAGGACGCCGTCTCTATGGTCATCAAGAAAGGGCCGTGGCTCTTTGGGAGGAGGGAGACTGGAGACGAGAGAAGAGGGAAGAGAGAAGAATACATAAGGGAGGCGGGCGACAGGCAGGATTGAGGGAGAGAGGGGGGTGGGGGGAGGGCGCTGAAGAACGAAGCTGGATGACGCCGTCTCTATGGTCATCAGGTGGGAGCTGCGGCCTCACCTATGGGAGGGGGGAGACGAGAGAAGAGAGAAGAGCTAAGGGAGAATGCGGACAAGAGAATGGGAAGCAGAAAGGGAGAGAGAGGCGAGGAAGAGGAAGAGGAAGAGGAAGAGGAAGAGGCTGAACGACGCCATCTGTATGGTCGTCATCAGGTGCTAGCTGCGACCCTTCACTCTTTGGGGGAAGAGGGGTGCGAGAAGAGGAGAGACAGGCGGAAACAAAAAGGGAGGAGGGAGACAGGAGCAAGGGGGAGGAAAAATTAGCTGAACGGACACACCTGGGAGACCCACTGGCAGTACATGGACCCGAACCAACCAATGACAGCACACGAATCCAAACCCTGAAACATTCTGACTCAACACAGAACTGACCTGGGAGACCCACTGGCAGTACATGGACCCGAACCCCGACGTGACAGACGCAGCGAGCATGGGAATCACTCGCAACACTACTGACGCTGTTAACCTGGCCAGACAAGCCCTTTCTCTTGCATCTCCAGTGATGCATGGACCGTTAGGCACACACCTGGGAGACCCACTGGCAGTACATGGACCCGAACCCAGAGGTGACAGATGCAGCCAGCATGGGAATCACTCCCAACACTACCGATGCTGCTAGACTCTCCGTCAACCCTCCGCTCCCTCCATTTCTTGCACTAGTAGCCTTGCCGCTCCCTGCTTCCTCCTTTCCTCCCTTTCCGTCTCCCCCTCCCTTTCCCTCTCCCCCCCAGAGAGAGAGCTCCACGTGGTCAGCGATTGAAAGCAGCACGGCTGCTACGAGCATGGCGAGGAGGGCCAGCACCTGGCGGCCTGACTGCTTCTGCCTGCAGACAGGGACACGCTTGTGTGGGATAAGAAGGATGCTAGGGGTCGATCTGAAGAGGGCATTGGGCACGACCAGGAGGGCCAATATCTGGCGGCCTGATTGCTTCTTCCTGAAGAAAAACCTGAAATAATCTCTGGTGTCGCTCACCTGAGGTGGAGGTGAAATTAAGAACGAGGTTTACCTGAGGAAGATGAAGTTGAAAAGGGCAGTGAAGAGAAGCTTCGTCTGAGACAGCATGGCGAATGTGACCGGGTGTAGATGGCGATAAGCGATGTTGATAAGCACGTTCTGCACTGTATACACGAAAGCCGGAACCATGGAGCCCTGTATAAACTCTCTTATCCGCCAGCTGTGCCACAAGCGCCAGGCTGACCCGTCTAGAACCACCACTGCGACCGAACAGAACATCTGCAAATATTGAAACAAAGAAGGGCACGGACAAGCGATGCTGATGAGAATAACTGTAACGTGAAACTGAATTCACATCAAACATGGCATGGAGAAAGCACAGGAGTGATCTAGAAGGATTCTAGGAACCCCACCTTGGCAACGTCGACTGCCATGACCTGGCTGATGCTGATTAAAATAACTCTACTGCTGAACTGAACTGAACTGAATTGAACTGGCACTAAAACATGCCATGGAGAAAGCACAGGACATGGCATGGAGAAAGCACAGGACATGGCATGAGGTGGAATTTAGGGAACCCACCTTGGCAACGTCGACTGCCATGACCTGGCTGAGTATGATGATGTCAGCACTGTATTGTGGGTGGGTAAGACATACAGAGCATGAGGAGTCAGAACGTTAACGGACATCCAGATCCGAAAGCGAACAGCACGGAAGGGGAGCTACGTTAGGCATTTACGCATGATCACAGGCTCACAGGCTCACAGGCTCACAGGCTCAAAGGCTCAAAGGCTGCAGGCCGTGTAAGGTCGCCAGCATAGACATCCAGATCCAAAAGCGGGAAGGCAAAGGGGTGTCACCATTCACCACGCGTCAAGAGCAGAAAGCCAAAAGACGGGTAGCTAGCTACCTTAGGCATCTCCGCATGACCACAGGCTGCAGCCCGTACAGGGTCGCCAGCATGGACATTCAGAACCACAGGCGAACGGGTGATGTCACCAGGCTCTAAGTGCGAATTCACAGCTACCTTCGACATTTCCGGATGTTCACGGGCTGCAGCCCGTACAGAGTAGCCAGCATGTACATCCAGATCCAAAAGCGAACGCGCGTAGGGGGGTCACCAGGAGTCAAGAGCGGAAGGACGGCTACCTTAGGCATTTCCGCATGATCACAGGCTGCAGCCCGTATAGAGTGGCCAGCATGGACATCCAGATCCACCCATGGCTGCTCGTATGACTGCTCGTTGTTCCCGAACCCGCTAATTTCCCCTCCGAAGATGCGTTATCATTCTTTCCGTTTTCAGTCGTCAGATGATCCGAAGATGTCGTTGTGAGGGAAGTGCCTCCGGCGTCCTTGCGAATTCTGCGTTCCATTGTCAGGACTACTGTAGCGTTCAGCGATAAAATCCAGAATAGATAATAACGAGGGAGTTAATATCCATGTTCAGAGCCTCGTGGTTCGTCTTGCGAATCTTATCCCCATTATTGACTGCTTGTGGAATTAATGCTGGGTCGAATGCTCCTTGGATAGACGAACAAGACACTGGTAGAGATCAATTTGAATTGCAGTCTCCGTGCAAGATAGCGATCAGCGTCAACTAATCTGGACTCAGGTGGCTTCATAAACTGAAACATGAGCACAGGATTGGGAGTCAGCCATCCTGAAAGAGTGGACTCGAGAAGGTGATCAAAGACCCGCAGGCATTCCCTGGGCAATTGATTCTCGGGGCGTACGCGCCCTGCCTGGTTCCGCTTCCGAATTAGGTAGGGACCAATGGTATTTTACAAAGAACGTATTGCATGAGTTTGCAATGATATAGAAGATAAGGCATATGTGAGAATTTTATCCCACCCTATGTATAGCCTTTCATCCGCTCATCTCCATTTTACGGACAATGGATCCTAATGCCCGTTACAAGCACAGCCCTCGAATTCATCCTTGCCTTCTGTGGCCGCCATTTCCCAGCAGATCTCGAACACGGACCGTTCAGATTTCGTCACAGCTCCATAATTTCAGGAACCATTCAGATCTCATTTTCCCACATCTGCAAAAACATTTGCAGCCGTAGATTCCTTCCCTAGATTCCATCACCACCACTTCCCATTCAGCTTCCCACACGCTACACCATGGTACCCCATGATTCCATCACCTCCCCCCCTCTCCATCCGCTCATCTCCATTTCACTACTGGTGGATTGAACTCGGTTTCTCATGAACACCCCTACCAGCAGTAGCAGCAACAACCAGCAGCATCAGATTCCGAATTCGTCCCATCCCAGCATAGCAGCCATTGGCATGGACAGACCAAAGGCTGGCTAAGAATCTGCACTTGGTCATTAGTTCACCATAGGAAGGGCACGGTGGCACTGAATGCGGGCGTAAACGCGTTTATACCAGGAATATCCACCACCGCTGGTCTCCTGTTGATGCTACAGTAGCAAGCCTGTGAACTGTGGAGCTCTCCGCAACACATCGGATCTGTCCGTGCTCTGACAATTTTATTTTGGATTCAGAATCCGAATGGCGTCTGTGATATAGTCGGGTCTAAATCTGTCCACTGCAGCACAGCGGTCGTTCCATTCTTATTAGAAGTGCGGTTGTTCATTGACACGAGGCCAGATGGCTGATCAGGAAGCTCCTGGTTGGCGGGAAAAGGCAGGCGCTTTCATCTCTACTTCGTGTGAGTCTTCGCGTTTCCCGCATTTGGGAATAATGCCGATTGGTATTTGTCAACACGATATAGGTCAGCAGGAGCCTTCAAGATATGAACAATGCGACTGGTGGTTGTTCTTGCACGTGCTTCGTCTGATTCTTCTGTGATTATTTTGTGATACTTTCCGCGTTTCCTTTCGGCACGCGTTGGAGACACGCGTCGCGTCGAGCAGTGGGTCTCGCTCGGCATTGCCAACAGCAGGTCGTTACTACTACATTCATCTGATCGATCCCCCTTTTCTCGTTGCATCTAAACTCTTCACAGCTTTCAAACTCCGAGCGGCGGGATCAGCCGTCGCAGGCGTCGCCGGCGAAGCAGGATCGAAAGTGAAGACCTCATGGCAGCAGAACGTGCAGCCGAAAGTCGCGGAGGCGGCGTCTCGCGCGGCGGTCGCAGCGGAGGAAGCGAAATCGCGGATGCACACCACCTGGGAGTCGACCAAGGAGAGCTGGAACACCAAAGTGCTCCCCCGAATGGAGGCCGGGTTGGAAACCACCGCGCGAGTAGCGGCTGATACGGGGACGAAGCTGAAGCAGGGGCTGATGGAGACGACGGAGAAGGTGAAAGCCAGTCGCGTGGGGCAACAACTCACAGAGGTGAGATTTCCGAGCGTAAGAGTCTGAAAGGCGAGAACCTCGGAGTTTCGAGTCCGAGAGGCAGGAATCGCTGATGCGGGGTCGACACTGAAGCACGCGCTGATGGAGACGACGGAGAAAGTGAAAGCCAGTCGCGTGGGGAAACAACTCACAGAAGAGGTGAGATTTCCAAAGTGAGAGTCCTAGAGGACTAAAGCGCGAATGCGAACGACGCTGGAACACCGGAGTGCTTCTGAGGATGAAGGCCGGATCTGCCCCAGATTCCTTACTCTCTCTCCCCAGAATCTCAGCTCATTGCGCTTATGCGTATCTATTTGTCCTGCTGTGTCACTTGCTTGCGTCCATCACCCCCCCAGCTGACGGCGAATGGCATGGAGAGAAGCAAGGGGCTGCTGCACAAGGTGGACTGGCGGAGGGTAAGAATCCACCCGTTGTCCTTCCTTGCTCGTTATCAGTCCCCTTTCCGCCCCTTCTACTTCTCCTCTCCCCTTCTTTCTCCCCTTCTTTCTCCCCTTCCTTCTCCCCTTCCTTCTCCCCTTCCTTCTCCCCTTCCTTCTCCCCTTCCTTCTCCCCTTCCTTCTCCCCTTCCTTCTCCCCTTCCTTCTCCCTTTCCTTCTCACCCCCCCCCAACCCCTCTCCCTCACTCGCCGCTCCTTTCCCTCTGTCACGCACACGAACACACGCATGCATTTAAACAGCCACTTACACACACTAATGGAAATCGTGCGCATACATCTGCTTCCATTATATCGTATTCCCTGCTCCTCTCGTCCTTGCGCCATGCACATGCATGCGCCTGCTATTTATTGCCTCGCCCTCTATCCCTCGTTTCTTTGAATCTCTAATCACCCCCTCTCTGCCTCTCTCTTCACGCACCCTCTTCCGACCAGTCGCACTTTTCACACGCATTCCCGTCCGACTCCTCTCCCTCTCCCTCTCAAGCGGTCCTTTATTGCTGGAAAGCCTGGGTACATGCTAGGCAGATAAAGGTGGATACAAGAGCATGCATGTCGAGGCAATACATGAGGTCTCTGCGCCAGGACCCGCCTTTAGCGCCAGGACCGGCCTGTAGCGCCAGTGATACCTGACTCAAGCTTCGACTAAAAAACCGTCCCTTCCCTCTATCTCTGCTTTTCTGTCTCTTCCTTTTCTCACTCCCTCCCGGCCTTGCTGACACATCCCCGTCTGTGCCAGGGTCGGCCTGGAGCTCCAGGTGACAACGCATTAGGTGACTCTTGCTTATTCTCCCACGCTCTTGGTTGACTCTTTCATCCCACGCTCTGCTGTCACTACCCGCCTCTTGGCGCTGCTTCTCCCTTCCACCTTCTCTCCTTCCACCGCCTCGCTTCGTTTCAAGAAGCAGTAAATCAGTTGTTTTGCTGCACTCCTCTAGGCCGCCTGATTGCCCTTTTTCTTGACTCACCTCACACTTCCTTAGTGTTCTCTGCTGTTTTCTGCCAATCTCTTCTCCCCTCTTTCTTCCCCCCATCACCTGTGCCCTATTCCTCTTCCCGAGACTCTACCATGTCTCGTGTTTGTTGTGTCACCGTGGTCTCTTGTTGGCAGTGTTTGGCACACCTTTGGAGGCCTTCGCGAGCAGGCAGCGGGGCACAGCAGTGCCCTTCGTGGTCATCCAGTGCTGCAACTTCATCCTGCAGAACGGTGTGTTACACGCTGTTACCAATATTATGCACTGCTAGGATTGTTTACGTGCTGTTACGGCATCCTCTCAATATATGAGGCGCCTCGGAATATGAGCGAGTTGGCAGAGGGTTACCGCAGCACCGATTGTTACCACATGGTCTCAGGCTTTTCCGCATTCTCCTTGGTGGTAACCACACATGGTTGACTTTATATCCTTCCAACCTTGATGTTCCCGTTCCGCCCTTGTTACTGTTGCATGCGTGGTCACCACCAGGCCTGGTTACGGAGTACTTATTCGAGTCGGAGAACGATTCGCGTGTGGTCAAAGGACTCATGCAGATGTTTGATACAGGTGAGCAATGACAGAAACCGATAGCAATAGCAACGATGATGAACCATAACGCAGTGAAGCCATTGTAGGATGGGTATCATACGGAAAATCCATGATACAGAAGTTTCCTGCCCAAAATCGCTCGTGCTCGTGTATATTAAGTGTCTCCGAACCCCTCACTATCCCGAACTCGTATATCCTTCCAGCAACCTTTGTGCGAATCCCCACCCCACTTTCCCCACTTTCCCGTTGCCCCACCTGCCAGACCCCAATGCGGAGATCCCCCCGGGGACCAGCCTCTGGACGTGGGTCAGCTGCTGCTGGTGTACCTCAAGTGTCTGCTCGAGCCCCTCATGACCTTCGACCTCTTCCCCTGCGTCGCCACCGTCGTCACCACCTTCAGGCCCTCTCAGGACCTTTGAGTCGACTAAAAGATCACCTTCAGGCCCTCTCGGGACGTTCAACCGATGCATTCCCTCCCCCTTTTCCAGCAACCTCCTCCCTCACCGTCTCCCCCTTTCCCAAACCCCCTCCCCCCTGAAACCAGACCCCAATGCGGAGATCCCCCCAGAGACGAGCACTCTGGACGTGGGCCAGCTGCTGCTGGTCTACCTCAAGTGTCTGCCCGAGCCCCTCATGACCTTCGACCTCTTCCCGGGCGTCGCCACTGTCGGCAGCAGCGATGTCTCGCAGCTCAGGAGGCTGCTGCACACGCTGCCGCAAGTGAATCTGGAGACGCTGCATGCCGTGCTGTGTCTGCTGTACCGAGTCAGCCTGCATGCAGACGTCAACAAGGTGAGAGGGGTTGGGGCTGAGGGTTGGGTGGTGGCGAAGGTATGAGTTTGCTTGATGCAGCTCGAACGGCTGCCGCACACGCTACTGTCGGTGAGCCTGGAGACGCTGCATGCCGTGCTGTGCCTGCTGTACCGGGTCAGCCTGCATGCTGACGTCAGCAAGGTGAGGGGGGTGAGGGGGGAAACAGTTTGGTTGACCCGTCTCACGGGGTCGCCACTGTGGGCAGCAGCTATATCTCGCAGCTGAGGCGGCTGCTGCACACGCTGCCGCAAGTGAATCTGGAAACGCTGCATGCCGTGCTGCGCCTGCTGTACCGAGTCAGCCTGCATGCTGACGTCAACAAGGTGAGAGGGGTTGGGGCTGAGGGTTGGGTGGTGGTGAAGTTATTATTCTGCTTGATGCAGCTCAAACGGCCTGCTGCACACGCTACTGTCGGTGAACCTGGAGATGCTGCATGCCGTGCTGTGCCTGCTGTATCGAGTCAGCCTGCATGCAGATGTCAACAAGGTGAGGGGGGGCCGGGGGTTCGTTGACCTTACAATCAAAGCATTGCGACTGCATTTTATGGCTCGAGGCTCCCCAAAAACAGCTTCTCGAAACCCATCAAAATAAGAGGTACGAACATGCTTTCCCCTGCTCCCTGCTCCCTACTCTCCTCCCACACCCTCCCACCCCCACAGATGGATGCTCAGAATCTAGCAGCCGAATTCGCCCCTGTCCTCCTCTGGCCCCGTCCAGAGGTGTTTTGAGGCCCCTCTAAGCAAATAACCCCACACCTTCCCCCAACCACACCCTCCCACTCCACTCCCCCAGATGGATGCTCAAAGCCTGGCAGCCGAATTCGCCCCTGTCCTCCTCTGGCCCAGACCAGAGGTGTTTTGAGCCCCCCCAAAGCAAAAATCGCCCACACCTTCCCCCCCCCACACCCTCCTACTCCCGCAGATGGATGCTCAAAGCCTAGCAGCCGAAATCGCCCCTGTCCTCCTCTGGCCTGGCCCCGATCAGAGGTGCTTTGAGGCCCCTCAAAACAAACACCCCCACCCCCCTACTCTACCCTCCCACCCCCCCAGATGGATGCGCAAAGCCTTGCAGCCGAGTTCGCCCCGGTCCTCCTCTGGCCCAGACCAGAGGTGCCCCCATCCCCCTCCCCCTCCCCCTCCCCCCACGCTTCCGCCTCGGGGCCCTTCGACTCCTCCCCTTCCTCCAAGCCCCCTCCCACAACCGCACGCTCTCCCTCACTCTCCTCCTTGAGTCTAGACGAGAGCAGAGAGGGCGCCGGAGGAGGGGCAGCAGGAGGGGGGGCAGCAGCAGGGGATGTGGATGGTAGCAGTATTAGCAAGAGCATGGGAGGGGGTGGTGGTGGTAGTGGTAGGGTGAGTGAGGATGTGCCTAGTCTAATGGCGCCCTCCTCCCCTCCTACGTCTACTCCCAAGGGTAGTGCTGGCCCCGCTGCCGCTGCTGCTGCCGGTGTGGGTGGTGCAGATGGCATGGGCAGTCCTGCTATGAGGAGGGCACAAAGTGAGAAGGGAGTGAGGGGGGTGGATGGAGCGAGTGCTGCTGGTGGTGATGGGCCGGCAGTCGTGAAGGCGAATGGAGAATCGTCTGTTCCTGGTGAGCTAGCAAAAATTCGTGTTTGCTCTTTTGCTCTCTCTTTGTGAGTTTTTGTTTGTGTGTGCCTCCATGTATCTCGAGGTGCCTCAAATCATGGGGAAACATCTTTCCCTAGTGAGTTAGCAGTGTTCTCTGCTTTGGGGTTATATCTGGCCTTTAATGTGTATGCGTCTGGTGTGTTTAGTGTGGGAGTGCGTGCATGTGAAGGGGGTTCATTCCGATTTACTAACACTGGTATGAGTCTCCTGTCTCCCATGTGTGAAGGGGGTTAATCCTGACTGTATTAATGCTGGTATGAGTCTTTTGTCGCCGGTTGTTGATGTGTTCGTGCATCCAATCCAATGTATGTGGGATCTCATGCATGTGAAGGGTTCCGAACCTGTTTATACCACTGTTAACTCAAGCACGAGAGTATTTTGTGTCATATTCTCGTGTGTTGGTTGCGATGGAATGCAGAGATCCCCTTGGAAGAGGAGCCAACACAAGCACAAACAGCAATAGTCGAAGCAATCATGGTGCTTATAGATAGCCACGAATCCATCTTCTCGCATAATCCCGGTGGCCCTATCCTTCTTCCCGTCACTTCGTAAAAACATGTAGATATGTAGTTGACTCCACCTGTTCCTTCGTTCATGCAGTGGGTGTACACATCCAGATGTGATGATATGCTTATTTATCAACCAAATCTTATATCTGGAAAAAATTAGAGTGAGTCACTCTTGTTCACGTGCATAGAGTCCGTTTGATTTGCTAAATTGTAAGTAATTTGAATTCCACTGCGAAGCTGCTAAGCTTCTGTTGTGGAACTGCCAGTAACGGAAACGCTAGGCTGTCTCCCTACTACGCGCCTGACTAACTACCATGCCAGGGGTATCAGCCGTAAGTTAGAGCTGCAATTTCCGCCACTGCCGAGAATGGCGGCGGCTCCATTCCCAACCTACGTAGCACGGACAGATGCACGGATTAATAAGGCCACAGCTGGCTCGACGGCGCTGGAAAAGCAACATACCCTGAATCGCGCGAGTTGCTCTCGCAGGATGTCATCCTCGTTTGTAGGAGCACCGTTAAAGATATTGACACCGTCCGCTTCCTCTATCAAGGTGTCCCCGCATGACAAGCTCCCGTGGGGTAGGGGCCTGTCAGTCTCTGCCACGTGGCTCGAATGCAAGTGAGTGATACGGCCGTGACAGTGGGACAAGTTCGCGTAGAGGGACGTTGACCTTCGTGTCAGCATTTGCTTATCATTCTCCTGGCGGATTATCATCGTCACAAAATGATTTCCTGATTTCCTGGCGGCATTCTCGAATTTCACGCATTATAAGACTGCATAATTTTTCCCCTATCCCTTCCGCTCGTATGACCGTGCTCACAAACGGATGCTCATGGGTCCACGTGGCGTCAGAGCAGTGGCTGACGCGCCCAACATCCCCCTCTCATTGGCTTACGGCCTCTGGTCGGATCGCGAGCTTGTCCCCAACTGGATGCCATGGATCACCTCGGTTAAGGTGGGTTCAACGTGGTGAAGCCGATTCCTACTCCCTGGTTGATTAGTTCAGCAGTTTAATAGTGGCGACTCCTTTCTAGATTTCAATCATCAACCACATCACATCTTTGGACTAACTTTTGCAGCATGGCAATTCCACCATGGCCTTCCCTTGCCATTCATGCCATGTCATCTGTTCTCTTTGCCACATCACGTCAGGTGCTGAAGGAGACACCGGAGTTCTCTGAGTGGACCCTCAAGTACACTGCATTTGGACGCGATCTAGAGTTCTCATGGCTCTCTAAGCAACTCACTGTAAGCTCTTCCAGTACAAGCTTAGTCGTACCACTCTGAGTTAGAGATTCTCATAAATTCTGGAAATTGTTTTTGTTACCCGGCACATGAAAATCTAAAGCACCATTCTTAATCTGGATTGCTGTGTATTGCAGCCCATCGTGAATCAGAAGATTCAGTGGCGCTCTGTTGATGGCGTGCCTAACAGGTACCACATGTGGGATGCCCTTCACAGGCAGTTAATGGGACATCCAAGGCTGACAGGAGATTGAACATACATCAAATGGGCCATGCATGGCAGGCAATATGGGATTGTGCCTTGCGACACATCAAGCGCACTTCAATAAATGCTGAACTCATGCTTCATCCAGCCCAAATTCGGTCGTCAGTCGCCTCCATGCAATCCTCCCTCCCTCCCTCCAATCTCTCGTGCTACCACCCATGATTATCATCATGATTGCAGAGGAGCCGTGCGTTTCTTCCCCAGAGGGCCCAACGGCTGCAAGGTGGAGGTGAGAAGGCTGTTGAGGGTTCTGGTCTCTGAGCCAACTTTGCCCGGTGGAGATGAGAAGGCAGGACGAGTGAGGGATGATTACCATGTCTGACTCAACTCAAAGGTTACTTTCTTACCCAGAGGACCCAACGGATGTCGGGTGGAGTTGAGAAAGCCGTTTTTTGGTGCAACACGAGATTTGAGTGGAGGGATAAGGAAAGAGGAATGTGGAGTCAGTGCTCCGAATTACAGTACGGAAAGGAAGTGAAGATCACCAGAAAAGTGAAGTTATAGGGTAGCTGCTGTCACCATTCTCACCATCTCCCCCTACTGCCTTTCTCTCTCGCTGTTCCAGATGACTCTTACATACCAGTGTCCCGACATTCTCGTCCCCGTTATGGCGGTACGCATTTCCCACATGCATGTTGCAATACGCTGATATGTTGTACTTATGTTGTGTCCTGCAAAACTCTCTCCATATGTGCTGATATCGGTATTGCTGTCACATCCTTCTTGCAGAGCCTATCGCCGTTGGTGGAGAATATCATTCAAGCAGACATGGACCGGTTTGTGGATTATGCGACTAAAGTGAAAGACACCCAAAGTGTTAGAATAATGTAATTATTACAAGGAAGAGGGAACAAGGGAGATTTCGGGTTTGGTTTGTACTCTCTCAGATCACACACCTATTCTAGCCTATAACTTCTACCGGCAAATGTATGTATAAGTTGACACACCCCCGAGGCTAGATAAGGGGTTGTGCTGAGCAAGAAGCACGCAGCTCAGGGTGGCACTGTTAAGACTAGAAAGAATGAATACCCGTATTTGTCAAACATGTGTAGTTATCATGTTTGTATAGACTGTATAGGGTCACCTTCTAGAGAGTACAACATTTAGGTATATGTTTGTGTACTCTCTCTCTCACATTATTCAATTCTAATTCTGTTATGGTATCACGCGTAGGTAGGATCCCCCCCACCTCCCGCTTCCGCTCATACCCCCTAGCGCCCCTCCTGGGCCCCGTCGCGCTCCTCCCAGGCCCCGTAGCGCCCCGTCGCGCCCCTCCTGGGCCCCGTAGCGCCCCTCCTGGGCCTCGTCGCGCCCCTCCTTGGCTCCGTAGCGCCCCTCCTGGGCCCTGTAACGCCCCTCCCAGGCCCCGTCGCGCCCCTCCCAGGCCCCGTCGCGCTCCTCCCAGGCCCCCTAGCGCCCCTCCTGGGCCCCGTCGCGCTCCTCCCAGGCCCCGTAGCGCCCCGTCGCGCCCCTCCTGGGCCCCGTAGCGCCCCTCCTGGGCCTCGTCGCGCCCCTCCTGGGCTTCGTAGCGCCCCTCCTGGGCCCTGTAACGCCCCTCCCAGGCCCCGTCGCGCTCCTCCCAGGCCCCCTAGCGCCCCTCCTGGGCCCCGTCGCGCTCCTCCCAGGCCCCGTAGCGCCCCGTAGCGCCCCTCCTGGGCCTCGTCGCGCCCCTCCTGGGCTTCGTAGCGCCCCTCCTGGGCCCTGTAACGCCCCTCTCAGGCCCCGTCGCGCCCCTCCTAGGCCTGTTGCGCCCCTCCTGGGCCCTGCCGCGCTCCTCCCTGGGCCCCGTATCCACCCTCCTGGGCCCCGTCGCCCCCTGCTCGGCCCCGTCGCCCCTGCTCGGCCCCGTCGCCCCAGCTCGGCCCTGTCGCGGCCTCTCGGCCCCGTGGCGCCCGCCCGGCCCCTGTCGCAGCTGCCCGGCCCCTGTCGCACCTGCCCGGCCCCGTCGCGCCCGCCCGGCCCCGTCGCCCCCGCCCGGCCCTGCTGTGTCCTGCCCGGCCCCGTCGCTGCCGCCCGGCCTTGTCGCTGCCGCCCGGCCTCGTAGCTGCCGCCCGGCCTTGTCGCTGCCGCCCGGCCCCGTCGCAGCCGCCCGGCCCCGTCGCAGCCGCCCGGCCTCGTCGCTGCCGCCCGGCCCCGTCGCAGCCGCCCGGCCCCTCGTCGCGCCTGCCCGGCCCCGTCGCGCCTGCCCGGCCTCGCCGTGCCTGCCCGGCCCCGTCGCGCCTGCCCGGCCCCGTCGCGCCTGCCCTGTCCCGTCGCGCCTGCCCCGGCCCTCCATACTTCCTGGTACTGTCCCCCGTTCCCCGCACCACTTTGCACCCTCCTGCACTTTCCTGCCCCGCCTTGCACCGCATTGCACCTCACTGAACCGCACTGACCGCACTGCACCGCACTGCATCGCACTGCACCGCACTGCACCGCCCTGCACCGCACTGCACAGCACTACACCGCACTCCACTGTCCTCCACTGCCCCTCATGGCTGCTGAGCTTCGTTTTGATGCTGAGGGTCAGCCTCTGGAGTTCGAGGCGTGGTTGGCTGACCTTCGCCGCCACCTTACTGGTCAGCGGCAGGACGGCCACCCGCTTTCTGCACACCTAGACGGTATGCTCCCCTGCCCTGACCCCCCTGCTGTGCTGCCCGCTGATCCCACGCCCGCTGAGCGCGAGTCCACTGCCGCCGCTGCCCTTGCCCGCTCTGTCTGGCTTTCCCGCGATGCCCTTGCTCAGCTCGCCATTAGCAATGCCCTCCCCCCCCTTGAGCGCCCTCGCTTTAGAACCATTACTACCGCCCAGGCCTACCTCGATACTGTCATCAAGCGCTATTCTACCCCTCCTGCTGCCTCAGTGGGTCGCCTGATCCTCCCCCTGCTCTTTCCTGACCTGGCGTCCTTCCCCACTGTCTCTGACCTCGCTGCCCACCTGCGCTCGATAGATGAGGCCTGGCGCGCTGCCTGCACTGATGCACAGCTTAGAGTCCACCAGCCTCCCATGACCTCTACCCTCTACCTCCTTGCCACCCGCCTCCCTGACCGCCTTGCCGCCGCCCGCGACCAGTTCCTTAGCATCCACCCTGCTGCTCTCACCCTCACCAACTTTGTTGACACCCTGACTGCCATAGAGACTCGTCACCGCTCCATAGCCCAGGCGAGCGGTACAGTACCGGTCCCTATCTTTCAGGGTTGTGCCCCTGCTCAGTGTACCTTCTCCGACGGCTCTGTCGCTGTGGCTGAGACTGCTGCTGCAGTGCAGTCCCGCTCGGGGAAGGGCCGCCGCCCCAAGGTTGGGAGCGGCGGAGGTGGCGGGGGTGCGGGTGGGGGTAGTGGTGGAGGCGGGTCGTCCGGTGCCGGTGCGGACGTGGGGACCCTGCCCGGTCCAGCTGCCCCGCTGCCTCCACCGTTGCAGCAGCCGCAGCAGCAGCAGCCTCCGCAGCAGCCCCAGCAGCCGCCGCAGACGAGGCCGGCGAGTGCTCTCCCGCCTGGGTGGCCTGGAGCTGGTGGTGGTCGTGCGCGTGGTGGTGCACCGGGTGGTGGTTCTGGAGGCGGGCCCTGTCAGTACCAGCTCCAGACCGGTCCTCGCCGCGGCTTCGTTTGCGGTAAGATCGGTCATTCCACTCCTCGCTGTTTTCGTCGTCTGGACGACCTGTTCCGCCAGCGCTTTGGCCCGGCGCCCGACCTCCCGGACTGGCACAGCTTGCTTAGGCGTAGCATTCGGATTTTTGACTTGGACATGGATGCCATTGTAGCAGCCTTGCATGTGATGTATGCCGATGACTCTAGTGTGCTTCCCTCTTATTACCCCGTTTTGCCTAGTGTAGCTGTGCCTAGCGTAGACTCCCCTGCTGCGTCAGGCGTAGGATCTCCTGCTTTGCTTAGCCTCGGTGCTTCCACCGCTTCACTGTCGCCCCGCGCGACTGCTGCGCTTTCCTTCACCTTGGACTCTGGCGCCTCCCGGTGTTTCTTCCGCGACTCCACGACGCTGACGCCGCTGCCTGTTCCCGCCGCAGTTACTCTTGCTGACCCCTCCGGTGGTCCCGTCGTTGCCCGCAGTTCCACCTCCCTTCCCTGTCCGGCGGTTCCTTCAGGTTCGCTCACCGGTCTGCATATCCCCTCGTTCTCCAGGAACCTAGTTGGTGTCGGCTGCCTCCAGGACCTTGGCGTCACCACTACGTTCCCTGGTCACGAGCGGTATGCTGTCTGTACCGAGGCCGCCACTGGTGCCCCCCTTACCACTTTCCCCCGGGACCCGGTGTCCAGCCTGTTCACACTTGACACCGCGACGTCCCCGGCTGGGTCTTCCCCCCAGGTAGCTGCGTCCACCCAGGTTGCTGCTGCGTGCTCCTGTCGGTCCCTCACTCATCCGACTCTCCTTTGGCACCACCGCCTTGGTCACCCTGCACTCCCGCGTCTGCGTCACATGTCCCAGCACGGTCTCGTCCTTGGTCTCCCCGGTTCGTTCCCTGAGTTTCCCTCCTCCCCCGCCCCACCGTGCACGCCTTATGTCGAGGGCCGGCTCCGCCGTGCCCCTCACTCCTCCTCTTTTCCCCCTACCACCGCACCCCTGCAGACTCTGCACATGGACGTCTGGGGCCCAGCCCCGGTCCATGGGCCGCGTCGCGAGCGCTTCTTCCTAGTGCTTGTCGACGACTTCACACGTTACACCACCGTCTTTCCCCTGGAGCGGAAGGCCGACGTGCCTGACGTTCTCATCCCCTGGCTTGTCTCTGCTCGTCTCCACCGCGGTCTCCCTGCCTTGCGCCTCCACTCCGACCGGGGTGGCGAGTTTGCCTCAGGTGTCCTTGGTCGCTTCTGTCGTGCGGAGGGCATCACCCAGACGTTTACCCTGCCGGACTCCCCGCAGCAGAATGGGGTCGCTGAGAGACGCATCGGTTTGGTCATGGAGGTGGCTCGCACCTCCATGATCCACGCCGGTGCACCCCATTTTCTGTGGCCGTTCGTCGTGCGCTACGCCGCTCACCAGCTTAACCTGTGGCCGCACCCCCAGCGGCCGCAGGTTTCGCCGACCCTTCTGTGGACCGGGTCCCCTGGTGACGCGTCTGCGTTCCACGTCTGGGGCTGCCTTGCTCACGTTCGTGCCTCTGGCACGGACAAGCTCACTGCCCGCACCCTCCCCTGCGTCTTCCTCGGTTTCCCCCTTGACGCGTCCGACTGGCACTTCTACCACTCGCCGTCTCACCGTTTCTTTCACTCTCGCGACGTCACCTTTGACGAGTCCGTCTCCTTCTACCGCCGCTTTCCCCACCGTGGTCCCCCGGTTACTCCCCCCCTGTTCCTGGTTCCTCCCTCCCTGGTGGCCCCTGCCCCTCCCCCCCCCCGCCCCCCCGTCCGGCCCCCTCTGGTGTGTCTCACGTCACCCCCCTCCCGTCGGTCGTTCCGGTCGACGAGTCTTCTGACTCTGGTAGTCCTTTGGCGCAGTCCTCGCCGTCTGTCCCTCCCCCGGTGTCTCCTCCTCCACCGCCTCCGCAGCCGCCGTCGCCGCAGCTGCTGCAGCCGTCGTCTCCGCCGCCGCCGCCGTCGAGGCCGTCGCTGCAGCCGCCGCCGCCGCCGCCACCGTCGTCGCTGCCGCTGTTTGTGGACTCTGGGGGTGCTGGAGTTGAGGTGGGTACTAGTCCCGGGGCTCCTGTCGTGGCTTGTCCCGGCGGGCCTGGGGGTGGTACCGGTGCTGGCGGTGTTTCGGGCTCTGGGGGTGTCCCTTCTGGGGGTGCCGGTGTGGAGGGTTCGGGAGGTAGCCGTCGCGCAGCTTGTGGCCCTGGCGTTGGTGTTGTGTCGCCGCAGCAGCAGTCCCCGCCGGTGTCCGCCCTCCGTCTGCTCGGCCTTCCGTCCCCTGACCCTGCGCCTGTTCCTCTCCGGCCGTCTCCCCCTCTTCCCGTCTACGGCCCCGTGTTCCCTCCGCCGGACTCGTCCCCGGCTCGTTTTCCCCCTCGTTCCCCACCCGTGTCCCCTCCTCTGTCTCCTGACCCGACGCCGCCCTCTCACGTCTGGTCTCGCCGCCCCTCCCGTGCTCGTCCTGTCTCCCCCGTCCCGCGCACTCACCCTATGTTGCTCCGCTCCCACGC